GCCAGTCCATATGCAGAATTTAGAGTTGTAGGGTTTAGCATTCTCAGCTGGTACCTTATCTCTTCTCGTAGGCCACTTATAAAGCAGCTTAGTTTATAAGGCTCAGCCAACCCACGTAGCTGGTTGGAAATCACTTCAAATTCTGACTTGTAGTCTTCTACTGTGGACGTTTGCTTCAACCGTGTTAGGTCTGCCATAGGGTCTTCAAATGCAGAGGGGCCAAATCTAGTTTGAAGGGAAGTTAAGAATCCCTCCCAACTAGTTATCCCACCCGTAGCTTCTAAATCTTGATACCAAGAAAGAGCCTTCCCTTCCATGTGGAATGAAGCCAGAACCAACCTATGTAGAGGGTTAGTTTGGTTGTAGGCAAAAAACTGATTTTCCCTATAGATCCAACTCTTAGGATCCTCTCCATTAAAACGAGGGAAATCCAGTCTGGCAGAACGGACTTGAATACCTCCCAAATCTTCAACGGGTTGAATGTGGGCTATGGGATTTGAATTTACTTGTTGACGTGCACTGTTTATGGGTTCTGGTTCTTCTACTTTTTTACCTTGCTCCACAAGAGTGGCCATATGACTGGAGAGTGTCTGCATCTGTTGGGTTAAAGCCTTCATGGTCTGTTGGTGCTCTGCTCGAAATTGCAAGAACCTTTGTTCAGTAGCTTCCTGTTGCGCCACCTGAGACTCCTTCAGGTTGGCGATTGCCTTCTCCAATTGCGTATTCCTGGTCTCCATTAAAGGAGAACCTGGCTCTGATACCAAAATGTTAGGAATCAACTTGATATATGAGTGAAAAAGAACAATGAATGCTGAATCACTTCGAGGGGATTCACCTCCAAACACCTGTGATGGTGCAACTTGCCAGATAGATGCTTTTTTCATATATCTTCAAGGTTAAATACAAAACAAATGACCACAACTTCCAGTTCCCCACGTCTTCCTCTGACAGACTCTACTTCAGAAAAATAAGGAACATGACTACTGCACTAAAGACTCGGACATGACTAAAGACTCGGACATGACTAAAGACTCGGACAACTCTGGCATTTATTCCTACTACTAGACTGGGTTAAGCATAACCCATTGGACTTCATTAACTAATGACCCAATACAATACTTAAAGGAATTAATAGGAAGACAGACTGACCCAATAACTGGAAGACAAACCAGTCCATAAGCCCACAGGTTCTTACAGTATTCTCCGGAAACTGACACAATCTTAAGGGATGATGTTGTGGGGATCATCGCTATGGCCAGAAGATGATTGCTTTTTTGCATGTGAGAATCCAATGAGGCAAGCTGATGACACGAGCCGGTAACAGGATTACAGGCTATGAACTCACCAGGTGCACCGTGGAAACAGATCAATCCGCCTGATGCTGCAACGGGAATGATATAGCTGCAAGAGGCCTGATACTCATTTTCTTGAAGGAGTGGCAACAAATTGAGTTTTTTCCAGGCTTTTTCGGTAGAGTCAAAGACAAAGGGATTGTAATTGAGGTGGGGTTGAGTATCAACCATGAAAAACCAGGGATCCCTTGCCGGAACTTGCGAGCAAGCAAGCTTGAAAGTAGCAGAATCTGCCACAAATTTCCATTTCTTGCACACTGAAGTGTTGCGGAAAAAAGTAGATGTTGGCAGCCATGAAAGAACCCTTTCAAGAATATCTTGATCAAGCTCATCCAATGGAAATCTTGCACCTTCATCTTCACATTTTACTGGTAATTTTCTCTTTTGACCCCTATCCATTTCTTGAACTTAATCAAGAACTTAACAAGTATATGCTGCTTTTGTGGGGTGTGAAACAAAGTACAAAATACAAGATTGGAGTATGTCGGAAGAGGACAAGATAAAGGAGTGTGCTATGAGGAAGGAAGTTTCCTATGGGGCTATTTATCTAAAAAAGTTCGAATCCCAATCTTGAGAACCTTCATCGCCCCGTCCCTAGAGTTTTGCGAGGGAGGTAATTCGCGGGATGTGCCCCAACAGGCCAGGGAACAAGACCTGTCGGTACACTGCGCCTACAAGGAGTCCAATTCCATATCTCAGGAATCGAATCCCCACACTGCGACTGCCAACAAGGCGTGAAATAACCTCACTCCCGTCTTTTGCACCACTGGGCTATACCCCTGGGGCTTCCTAAGGGGCTATTTATCTAGTTAAATTTGGGGTTGACAAAGAGTAAAGTAGAAGAATGCATTGACAAAATATTTGTTGTTCACGAATGGGTATGGGGAGAAAAAGAAAAAGTTATGCTGCAACAGAACCAAGAAAGCAGAAGAAGAAGTCTCTGTCATCCCGGCTGCGCTCGGGTTTTGCCTACTTCTTGCTTGTAACAAAAGAACATTACAAGGAGACCCTATGCTCAATCTTTGCTATTTCTCTTTTAGTGTCAAGGCTTCAGTGTCACTGTTGTTTTTAGTCGACTCTTGAGTTTTGTTTATATCCTACCCGAGTACACGGGGCATATGTGGGGACGGTCTAATTGAGCATCTTGTTTTGCAAATTTCAAACAACTTTTGCGACTTTGACTTCACGACTAATCATTATTTTGCAAGACCTAACATGTCAATACATTGAACACTATGGTGCTACCCAGAACGTAGATAAACATAAGATGAAAAAAATGAATATCGAATAAATGTGGCAAAAGAGGGTGAGTGACTAACTTCCATGGAGCAAAAACTTGCATTTTCATTCCCATCAAAAAGTTTGACATTCTGCGTCTAACCGTCGTGCATGGAATTTTTCTTTATACAAACAAGTACTTTAGACCCTGTTTAAGTCCCATTTTTTCCTCATTAAAATGAAAAATATGACCGTTATCCATCACATCAAACCATTAGATTTGACTTTTTATCCTTGTACAGGTCCATAACGATTATATTTTTCATTCTCATTTTTACAATAATTTGACTCAAACAAGAGCTTAGTCTATTATTTTAGTTTGTAGCATTTAAAGTCAAAACGCAGAATCCGAAGCTCTGACTTTTGTTTCCAGTATTTTTTATGTTATTTTGTTAATAGTAAATGGCATTGGATGCTTCAAAATGATTTAAGATATGAAGCAAAAGCCATGAATTCCGGTCTCTTTTCCTCGTAAACCGTGGCCTGGGGAAAAAGGAGGTTTTGGCTGATGCAGTTCCCTTCACTCTTAGGGTGTGTTTGGGAAGTACTGGACGTGGGCCTTCGCCGGGTCCAATAATCCAACTGTCTACTTAAAATGGATGGCCCAGTCACTGGTCCAAACATGGTGCCGGACTGGACCAGGGTCCGGAAGCTCTTTTCGGACCGACCGGTCCAGTTCGGGTTTATTAACTACACTTGATAATAATTAATATGTATCATTTAAGGTAAAAATTCAAAATAATTAGTGAATGTCACAATTCTACAAATCGGAATTGCAAAATTATTATAATCTTGTTGAGAAAACAATCTCAATCTTTTAAACATTATAAGATGCAGATTTTATAAGGTTTTAATCGAGACGGCAGAGAAGGTACTCAACTTCAACAAACTTTGTTAAGGGGATAACCCATTCTCCATATAAGCGAGAAACTACAGATGGATTAACCTTGTACTTTCCGACGTTATCGTTCTCTTTGAGATCCACTTCTTGTCCAAATACCATAGCTTTCTTTTCAACTCTATTCTTGATCATCTCTTCAACACTTGTAAATGTTAATAGTTTCATTAAAGCATCTTTGTCCTGCAACAACGTAGGAAAGGAATCATTACAGGGGATCTCTCTACCTGCAATGCTTATTCCATTGATTAGAGAGGTTCGCTATACCAAAGGAAAATGCAAATAGAACTGAATTTCAAAAAGAATGGCACCAGAAGATACTGATGTGCTATGTCTTTCATTTCGACATGCATTTAAATTTTAATTTGGTTGGCCAGCAACTGATTTAATTGGTAAATAACACATACCTGAGCACGTATTGCTCGAGTGTAGTTTTCTGGGGATTCCCTGAACTTAATCTCTGCTACGAACTTCCCCAAGTGAATTCTTCTTGAAAGAGCCTAAAAGAAAATAATATTGAGCTTAATTCAGAACAAGTAACATTTTAAATGCATTCAAGAAAGAACAATCTAATGTATGAATTAGTAAAAGAAACTATAGAAAAAATCATTTGGGATCCATTTTTTACGTCAAGCATCCATTTCTCTTACCTGCAAGCAGTCTAGATCCCTACCAGCAGTGATTGCATAATTCCGATCATCCCCATTTGATGTAATCAGAGGAAGCAGTTGCTTGTGATACATATTCGATATTTGCTCATTTATATTAATAGAAGCTCCCCGAGGATGCAAAACCTGCAATTGATGTTATTTCAACATATAATCTGTACATCAGTCTAGGGAACATTCTCTGAAACTCAACAATCTAAATTTTGATCAATGTTTACCTGTTCATTATCTCGAAGTGGCAGCAATGGTGGTGGCAAATTATCTGGAAAGAAAGCATTCTCTTCAGCAGAAGAATACCGACCAGCCTATAAAGAATCCAAACACAGAAAATTACCATTTCAATGTAAAAGTTCTAAATACAGTCCTAAATTGGTAATACTTTCAGTTTACGATTTGCCAGGTGACATCGGTTATTAAGGATGGCATTATATTAAAAATTCAATGTCAATTTGGTGAAAAGTTGGTGTAGTATTATGTGTGTTTACAGAACATCAGCAATTGGAGATCTAATGGGTTTAGCTTATACAAATCAAAACTTACAGATGGTTCAGGTTGGAACTCTAGACATATTAAAGTCACAACTAAGTCCACAGGAAAAGAACACTTCTAAATTAGATAAAACTTCGTAAAAAGGTAACACTGCACGTTATGCAATTCAAGCTTCCTGAAAGAGGATCAAAAGCTTTTCTCATTCGAGCTTCAAACTGAGAAGCACTGGGAGAAAGAATCATTTATATATACATTTTTTTACTAAATTTGAATTGAATGTTATTAAACATATTATCTGGTTCAACAGTAGCATTCAGTGCATTCAACTTCTAGCCCAAATTGGATAGTGATGCACACTCCTAGGTTTCATAATTTTTAATGCAATTTATGGTTACCATCTAGAATGTGAAATGTCTCAAAAAGGGCAAACTTGCATTATTGGTTCGAGAACCAAGAAAAGTATAAACATTAAGAAACTATAGTTAGTCTTGATACGATGAACAAAAGTGGTGGAGGGACATGGGTGGCAACTGCCCCCACAGCATTTGCCCCTTTTAAAGCCCCATTCTTTAAAAACTCATTTTCAACTATACATTCTACAAATAGAAATTTTTACACATAAATCCGAAACTTTTTCCTACTTTTAAATACACATTCTCCAAAAAATTGTTATTACAAAACTTATTCTCTCAAAAATGGGGCTCAAACAAAACCTTTGTATGATTTTTATAAGAAAATTATTATAATTTTTTAATATAGACACAATTCAATTCATCTATACTAAACCTCTCCACGTCAATATTTTCCCCCTCCCAACATTTTTTCGCCCTACCCCCTCTCCTCCCATGTGAAAATCATGGCTCCACCACTGTGAAACAACCTTAGAAATGGCTTGAGTTTGGTTCATTTGCAGATTCATCCAAGCTTGAACAAGCTTTTAACGAGCCGAATTTTGATCAAGCTCGAGCAACGTGAATAATATACAAGATATGTGATACTAATAACTAATTGGCTTAAGGAGCCAAGCTCAAAATTTTACAAGCTTGACCTGTTCTACTCTTATGCAAACTTCAACTAGCATTAGACTTCTAAATAAATGCTAGCCTCTTTAAGATCCAAACCTTTACTTCTGTCATTACCATCCACAGTCTGGTAAGACAAAGGCCCTCTCACAGCACATTTAGTACGCACTAATAGACAAGTCTGGACAGCACATTTTTCCCGGCATAGCCCAGGCCCTGACCTACCGGAAATTCCTAGCAGGGCAAGGGAGGGGGAGAGCTACCCGACCCGTTTCCATCCCTTACCAAACGCGCTATCAGTGGCCAAGAGGGTTGTTAAGGGCATTACAACATCACAGAACAGCAACAATCAATATACACATCAAAATTTATATGGTCAAAACCAATATTCAGCATCATACGTCAAGAAAAAATGATTTGGGAATGCAAAGAAACTAATAGAAAGCAGTACCTTGGCTTGAACAGCTTCAGATTCTTTGACAAAAAATTCAAACAAAGAACCCGAAAGCCCGGGCCTTTTATCGTACAACGGAGAATTTATAGGATATTTTGCTCTCTCTATCAGACTAAAAATAATGGTGTCTTCTTCTCTCACCAAAATCTTTCTCAGTGTATCAAGATTCAACATATCATCGGAGAAATTTCCCATCTCAGAAACTGAAAAATTTGCAGAGTTTTTTATGAAAAGTTTTCACCCCCAATAATTTCCGGACTGTCCAAACTCCAAACAGTAAATTAAACAAGAATGAGAAACATGGTGGTGGGGTCACGGGTATAAATATAATATAATATTACAAAAAAGTAAAAGGATTAGTCATTAATGGGTTGCGTAGTGTGCACGGCTCGTCAACGTAATATACTTTAGCTAATGTGCACTTTTCGTGCATCGGATGTTTTTTTTCCCCAACCGGGAAAATTGGCAGGTCACATCTCAATGTTTGGGCAAGTATTTGGACCCAAATGTTTCTGTATGCAAGCATTAGAGTCCTTTTATTAATTTGAAGGCACATTAATATAAAAATGAGAATAAAAAATATAATCGTTATAAGTTTCATNGCAAGCATTAGAGTCCTTTTATTAATTTGAAGGCACATTAATATAAAAATGAGAATAAAAAATATAATCGTTATAAGTTTCATATAAGAGAGAAATTCAAATTTGATAGTTTGATGTGATGGATAAAAATTATATTTTTCATTTTAATGAAGAAAAAATGAAAAACAAACAAGGGCTAAATTTCTAATAATTCAGTTTTTGAAATCTCATATAAATATTAATAAATAAATTAGTCACAATAGAATTGCAACCCCAATAATTCTAATATGACATTAATTGATAGATAAAATTAAATAAATTTAATTTCACATTTCATTTAACCTATCACATAAATAGATATTGCAATTCCAGTGGAACTACGTAATATTACTCAAGAATCACGATGAATGCAGTGGACCCATGATTTTCAATATGTAATGCTAAAAAATGCATCACAACTTTCGACAAATCAGATATTCATTGTCATCAAAATTTGTGATAATCATTAATGATGAATAAAATAGTTCTATTGTTGTCCAGGCTCAAATTCTTCAACCTTATTGTCCCGATTAAGGATGAAGATAACAGTGTAGGGGAAGATCGCTGGCACGAAAAATTAAATGCTCAAATGTAAGCCGAAATCCAATGTTGTTTAATTAATAGGAGAAACATTACCGTGTTTGAAAACAGAAGTATTCCCAATAGCAGCAGAAAAACCCACAAAACCCCATGAAAATGTCACAACGAAGAACAAGCACAAAAACTTGGCAGCCATGGATTATGGATTGAAGAAGATTATTGTGAGAGAGGCATGAGAGAAATTGGTGAGGAAGAATGAGTGGGAAAAGACGAGGGAAATGGGGGAGTGATTTTGGGATGCAAAGTGCACCACTAATTTTTTTTTTATATTTTTTTTTTCACTTTTAGTTTTAGCCCCGTTTGACTTTTATTAATTTTCATTCCATTATATTTTATTTTTTTCTCTACTATTTTCAACCATACAATCTTTAATAAAATAATATTACACGAAAATCGAGAAATCTTCTTTCTTTTTCAACTACTGATTAAAAAAAACAATATTCCACCGATATTCATTTCCACAAAATAGGGGCTTATTGTGTTAGGATATAGTTGTAAATTTAATGTAGTGTATTTACTAAAAATATATTTTGATTGTAGTGTGATTATGACGTGGTGTAGTAAGTAAAAATTTTTATGGTAATAAAATTACCCTTTTCTTAATAAGTCCTTATAAATTCATTATTTACACGATTGTATCCACACCATATTTTTTTATAACTATACCATATTTTAATTATATCCAAGAACATTAATCTTTATTTATCATACTAGTATTTTTAACTTTTTTTTAATCACATTCTTATTCTTTAACATTTCGTTAATTAGAAAACCTTATCCTTTATCATAAAATATTGAAACATACTTTAAAATGATGGTCAGATATTTAATCACGTTTTTACATTATTATTTATTTTGCTTATTTAAAAATAGGATGAAAATGAGTCTTTTTTACACTATATTAAAGAAAATTTCAATAAAAAAAATCATAATTAAGAACAATTTATGTTAATTTGAGAATAAAAATGAGATAAAAAAATTGAGACATAAATGTGATAATGTTTAAAGGTTATAAACTTCTCATAAAATTAAAATTAGTCGAGTTATTAAAATATGTGGTTTGGATATATTTAGCTTTACTCGATATCTCGTCAACGTTAGATTCATTTATACTTTTTCAACAATAATATTTTATCATCATTATTGCATTGTCCAAAAAAAAATTGTTGTAATAATTAAGAAGCATAATGAACATGCTAATCAATACTATCTGTCCCATAAAAATACGTTTGCTTTCGTTTTTCATTTATCCCAAATTATTGGACACTTTTTTTCTTTTTTCTTTTTTTTGTTAAGAGTATGGTTGTTTTCTTAGTTTTTTAATATGCTCATATTCAAAATGTGCTTTATTATCTACAAATATGAATTATTCATATTAAAATTGTTATTTAATGTAGGGTTATATCAGTTAAATATAAGTAAAATTTTTATTCCAACTATATTGATTACATTTTCTTAATATGTGTGAAAATGGAAGCAAATTTATCTTTGTAGGATGGTAATTTAAAATTTTCATGATTGAAAATATGGTAACATTTAGACATGCTTCCAAACTTTTATGGTTGTTGCCCTTGTTTAGTTATAAATTGTTTATGATTGGTTTCAACCACTTTATATCCACATATTTCATACGATTCAAAACTCATCTTAATTTATCAATTCAGTATAATCAAACAAATAGGGGTGGACCTATTAAGGGTCCAGTGGGGGCAGTCGCCCCCACTGAAATTTCAAATATCTTCAGAAAAAATTTAGAACAAACATTGGGCTTTTGGTCTAGTGGTATATCTCTTGCTCTGGTTGCAGGAAGTCTTGGGTTCAATTCTTAGGATGACTTTTTTATTATTCTTCTTGTGTTTTGTTTTTGGGAAATACATGAAATTGACCAAAATAAGAGAAGGATTTTTCAAAATGACATTTGACTTTTATAAACATTTTGAACTATCTAAAACACCCTTTAACAAATATTAAAAAACAACCCTTTATCTAATAAAAATCTTCTATTTAAGTCTTTAAAAAATCTAACAAGTAATTTTCTAAAAATTTGTGAGAATTATTAATGAATAATTATAAAATAGAAAAACCCAAATATAAGAGAGGACCATATAATATAAAAAAGGTTGTTAAAAATAAAAAAGAAATTAAGTTTGAAAAAGAAATTGATAAGATAGGATATCAAGAACAATTATATGCATCACAAGAAATATTAAAATGTTTCAAAAAAAAACTTATTAGAAAATTTTGCTAAAGGAATTGTAAGATCAATAATCATAAAAGATATACAAGATATAATAGATAAATTGGAAAAAAGAAAGAAAAATATTTCAAAATATGATATACCTTTTAGAACAGACATAAATACGATAACAGATATTGATATTATAAATTCTCAGACATTACTAGACTTTGAAGAATTACTTAAAAATTTATGAGAAGACTAATAAAAAATAGATTACCACAAGCATACAAAAAATTAGTCTTTATCTTAAAATTTTATATACACCTAATAGAAAAAATAAAAGAGTTTTTGGAATATTAAAATTTTAGATTTTTAGATTCATGATTATTAGATTTTCAGATTATTAGATTTTTGTTCGCTCATAGTAGCACCCGTCCTTTGGTATTAGAGCCATAGAGATCATGAAAATCTTAAAAATAAATAATTATTATCAATGTATTGAAGAAAAAGGATGTTATATATTTTACAACCCCATCCCTAATAAATTAAAAATAATAACATTATATATAACTAGAAATTTACCTAGAGAAATAAAGGAACAAATATTACATAAATTAATTGTAGGATTTATTAAAGATAGACGTACATATGAAATAATTTGCGAAATATTTGAAAATGATTTGTATCATAGAGAAATATATGAATCATCATAAAAATATAATGGAAAAAACTAAAAATATTTTAGAAAGGAAGTTAGAAAGAATAAGATCAATAAATAATAAAATTTTAGATGAATTATTAATACCTGGAGAAATGACTAAAACTCAAGAAAAACGGATATTAAAATTAAAACAAGAAAGGTATAAAGAAAAAGCAATGTATTATGAAAAATTAAAAGAGCTAACAAATTCTGAAGTTATAAAACAAAAATATGATAAAATGATAAAAGAGTGTAAAAATACTGAGTGTATAGTATCTTATTATTGTCAATCAAAAAATAGATAAAATGTCAATCAATGAACATATGGAAGAATTAAAATATTTAATAAGAACATTAATTAATGATGTACAAGAAATTAAGAATGAAATGAAAGAAGCTAGAAATGATATAAATATATTAAAATTTGAAGTCAGAAAATTAAAAGAAAATGAAGAAGAGAATAATAGAGTAGATAAAAAGTTTATAGAAAAAGAAATAACCAGAATTGGGAAAAAACATATTGAAAGAAAAAATATAATAATAGAAACAGGAAGCATGGATGATGAGTTTAGAAAAAATATATTACCTAAAATAATAGAAGAAGAGGAATCTAGAGAAAAAATATTAGGTAAACAAAAAATTGAAGAAAATCAAGACAAAGAAGATGAATGAAGAATTAGATCTACTTATAGATAATTTTGATCATTTAAGTTTAGAAAGTATAGATGATGAATACCAAATCTTAATGAATACTGGAGGAGGACATAATCCCGTAGGAACCTCTAAACAAGAATCAATAGATCCAGATAAAAGCTATGCTCCAATGTATAATAAACCATATAGGCAATTTTATGATAAAATAAGATATAAACAACCATCCAAACGAAATAAATATAGTAATAGATTTGAATTAAATAATAATTATGATAAACCTGTTAACCATGGAGGAACAAAATTAGACTTAGATTGCAAAATAGATACTAAGAAAGCCTTAATAACTTGGGCAGACTCAATGATATTATTCTTTTTATATAATAAAGATGATACATGGGAAAATACTGAAAGGAGAATAGATTTTTTAATTGCATCTTTTGAAGGAAATGTTAGAAATTGGTGGGAAGGAATTAGTAGTGATACAAAATCATTAATAAAAAGAAATGTACAAACAGAAATAATAAAGTCAGATAAACTAGGAATAGAAAGATTAGTAGAATATATTGCAGATGAATTCTTAGGAGAAAATTGGTTAAGAAATTATAAAGAAAAAGCAATACGAGAAAAAGATAATGCAAGAGTTAAGTTAATTAATCTAACAATTTGTGATATGTGTAAAATTAAAGAATATACTTGTGAATTCAAGGAATACTATTATATTCAATTTTATAATAATGAGAATCAAGAAGTATATCAAGAAATGTATTATAATAAATTACCAGGATCATGGGCAATATATTTTAAAATAGAATTTGAAAAATATATTAAAGAAAATATAGGAATACCTAAAACATTAGGATCAAGAATAAAATTTTTGTTTGAAAGACTTGCATTATGTCAACAAAAACAATTATTGAAAAAATCAGGGAAATTAACTAGAATATGTTGTGAAGATATGGAAAAACCTACAAGATGGGGATGTGATCTTGAAAAAAGAAATAAAAGAAAATATAAAAACAGAAAGTTTAAAAAATATAGAAGCTTTAAGAAAAAATACATAAAACGTGGAAGGAAATATTATAAAAGGAAAAACAATATACAGAAAAATAAACCTTATAAGAAAGATAAAAAACAATGTAAGTGTTGGAATTGTGGAGAAATATGTCATATAAGTCCTGATTGCACAAAGAAAAAAGTGAGAATATTACAAAAGGATTATTTTGAAATAGAAAGCGAATTAAGTGAAATATCTGATATTGAAAATTATAATAATCAAGAAATATTTATAAGTGAAGAAGATTCAGAAGATTATGGATCAGAATCTGGATAGAGAAATTGAAGAAATAGAAAATAATAACATAGAAATCCAAGAATATGAGGGAATAGAAGGTTATGGATTAAAAGTAACTTTTGATAATAATAAATTTAAGAAAATACAAAAGTTATCCTTAGATTTGAAAATAGGAAAATGGGAAATTATAGATAAAATATAGAGAAGAGAAAGAATAGCAATAAATGAATACCATAAGATTGAAAAAACTATAGATGTTAGAACTACTCAAGGAACACATAAAATAAACCTTTTAACAAAAAATACAGTATTAAAATTATTATCAAAAATAAGTAAAAAAACATAGTGAAAGGATCCAATATGTTTATTTAGTAGGAATACAAATAATGTTTAAATCCTTATTTAGGGAAGGA